TGATGACAGGAAACAGAATGGGGGGGAAATGCGCACATGCACACTAAAAAAAAAAAGCCCGACAGAAGTGTTTGAAGGGCATTGGGGAACATCTGTGGCTGTTTATGAGTAAGTAGCCAGTAGTCAAACCTCTAACAGGTTTAGGTGTCATCCTAAATCCTCCAGTTTTCTTTCTGTTGGTCTTTGTCTCTCTATCCTAGACCTCTGTTAGTTTGATTTATACAAAATCCAGCAAATTTACTCAAAGTATCCTGTCACCTCCTACAAATGTTACCAACGCCTTGCAAAAAACATCTATGACAACAATGCCAATTAAGCAGGGGGCGATTTGTACACATCTGGAGTAGATTTCCTCACCAGAACGGTCCCCGGTGCACAAAATCAGCTCTACGGCTGCCTTCTCCCCCCTCTATGCTGCTGAATTGGGGACTGTATTGGGTTAAGGGGAGCATGTTTTTTATGTGTTTGGTTAAAAGCAGATGGTTGGTTTATATTAGCTCAGGAAGGCGATAAACAGCTTCGACGCACTCTCAAACCACCGATAGAGCGATCATGGAAGCCTGCACTCTGTGTTTGGGTGATGATAATGTTCAACACGTTTCATCACTTTCAGACAATGCAGCAAAAGGTGCTTAAAAAAAAAAAAAAATTGCATACTGTCTGTGTAGGTACTACATTCGATGACGAAAACACTTCATGAATGTTAAAAAAGTATGATTCATAAAGTATGAATGTTAGTAAATGTAATATGGTACTACGTTCGCCATGTTGTCATTGTCATGTGACTTAAAGCATCAGTTGCTTGGCTTCACCGTCATTTACAACACCTCTCCTGTGGCCTCAAGGTAAAGTGTCCATCAGATGCACACTTCAGAATCTTGGCGGTAGTATTAGGTCATCCGGGTATTTTTTGCCTACTGTTTTATGAATTTTATAAATTCAGACATACTACTCATTTCACATACTGTTTTTCCCAGTTTTTCAATTCTGTCATCATTTACTCACTTACGTTGTTCCAACAATGACTTTCTTTCTTCTGTAAGAAGATATTTTGTGAATGTTTTTGTCCATACAATGAAAGTCAGTATCAACAGTATAACATTGGACCCTTTTTATTGACAAAGTCATAAAAACACAGAGACATTTTTCAAAATATCTTTTTTTGTGTTTCACAGAAGAACGCAAGTCATATGGGTTTGGAATGACATGTCGGTGAGTAAATGATGACAGAATTTAATTTTTTGGGTGAACTATGATATCGCTGTGGATGTCTAAATCTGCAGACTAAACTAAACTAAACTAAACTAAAGATGTGATGTGCCCATTTTTAAATGAAAGAGACACTTGGAGGATGAAAATAACAGAAATGTTGATCATTTCATAAGACATAAAAACAGCTAGTTTAGAACAGGAGTTCATGCAACATTTTTGTTTTTTTGCAATATTTTAACAATACATTTTTACAATATTTCCAACAGTATTTTCTACATTTTTATATAGGAAATGAAAAACTATTGGCTATAAATATAAAGGCATGACATGTCACTCTACCAGTCAATGATATTCATTGCCTACAGTCATTTTTGAGTGAACTATGCCTTTAAGATGTCACTGTGGATGTCCATATCAATAAAATAAAATAAAATAAAATAAAATAAAATAAAATAATAAAATAAAATAAAAATGACTGAATTAACCTGGCCACATGAAAGTTGCACCAGTTCATTTAAGGGTTAGATGAGGTGAGACACTTCTGCATGTTATCACTTTTTACATTGCAATATTTTTGTAAGTATCAGTGTCATAATTGGGCATTTTAATGGCTCTGAAATAAAGACCAGAAAGCAAGAGGGTAGTGAGTGGGAAGGTATAGGTTAATCTGAGCCCTAAGGTAACAGCAACAACCTGCTGTTTCACCCGTCAGGCCGTCATTGCAGTGGCTCTGTTCAGCACTGATAAGAGACTTGGGTGGATCTAGCAGAGCTGTGCACATGCATCACACACTCCTTCTTATTAGATAACGTGACGTCTGTAAGATGATCCTGATCCTGTCCTCCATGAAGTGTTTGATGTGCCATATGTTTTATCAAAGCCATAAAGTCATCACTAACACGTCTCTGAGTGTGAAATTACGTACAGGAAAGGATGAGTGCTTTTTTACATTCACATTTAGAGGAAACTTTTGTTCTCTCCGAGTTGCTGTTCCCCTCTCTCATCATAAGTGCAGGCTGTGCTCGAGCACACAATGAGAATGAGAAGCGATTGTTTTAACCTCTATCTCATGGCCTTTGAAGATGTGATTCGCTTCCTCACCTGAAGGAAGTTTCAGAACTCTGCAGTTAGAAAGCAAGAGCAACCCAGTCTCGCTCCGCTTTGTTATCATCACAGTCATCTCTAACAATGAAAAACACTGTCTGCTGTGTGCACATGTGAACATTTCAATGGAGGGGGGATGGGCCAGGTTAATAGAGAGCAGGGATAAAGGGAGGGTAGTAGACACAGGAAACAGAGAAACATGTTGACAGAGCGCAAGAGGAAATGTTGAGAGATATGACGAGAGAATGTATATGAGAGGTACTAGACCCTGTGGTCTTAACGGCTTGCCCACCGAAACCTACTGGTCATTCGGTGATAGCAATCTATTGACCAGATCCTTTTCGGTTGGACGTTATCATATTTCCTGCAGAAGTCACTCCTGATATGCTTGACTGTGTTGCATCAGTGATATATTGAATTATCACTGAGTGAACTTATAGGTACCAGGTGCATTACTTTACTGTGTTTTTGACATTTACAAAAGTGTCAGATTTACATGATACAATAGCGATACTACATGTACATACCCACTCAAATGAATAAGTACATGCCAGGGCCATTTTTAGCCATGTGGAGTGTGTGTGTGAACTCCCGTGGGGGAAGGAGTACATAACCATGTTGCACACGCATGTTGCTTTTAATGATGGGTTTTGATAAAAGAGCTTTGGATTAGGCATAAACCTTTTTTTCTATTTATGGTATATCACTTTATCATCATTGAATATCACCAGCACTCAACAGTTGAGCTACACTGGCGAAAATGTGTTTCTTCAGAAATTAAAAGAGATGAGAAAGATTAACCAGAATGAGTCACCCTTGCGAAAAACAAGTACACTTTAGCATACATAAAAAAAGAATAATTATTATGGAAATAATACATTATAAAAGAATATACTTAAGTGCGGACTGAATGTAATGTTTAACAGCATATATTCACAATAAATGAAAATGTATTATAGTTGAAATGTTTACTGAATACATTTGGTTGAATGTAAGAGTGCTTTTTAACCTACTTAAGTATATGTTTATATGAAATTAATTCTGTTGTCTTTGAAATATGGTTGAAATGTATGTATGATACTTTAATGTCATTTCTATTGAAACACATATTTAAATATCGTTGTAACATTTGTAATGATGAAGTTGCAAATTATTACATTTAATATATATTAACTTCAAATGTAACATCAAATATGACACTACATAATCAAGTAATTTACATGTGCTTTATCACAATAAGTGTATTTCTTTAAAGCACGACAAGATTATTAAAACATAATTATTTAAAATGTACTTAAAGTAAAACCTTTAATTTGACATCATGAAAAGATGCACTTTTAAAAAGTGTGTTAAGAAACGTTGTCATGAACGTGATACTTTAAGTGTACTTTAACAGGCTTTAATTTCATTAATATTATAGTATCTGCACTTTTTAAAAATATATATTTTTAGGATTTAAAGTACACTACAAGTGCACATTCAATACAATTAAGCGCACTTATTTTTCCAAAATATTTCCAGGTCCATAAACATAAAACCCCTCTAAAGTGTAAATTACAAACATACACTTTAAAAGCAATGTTCTTACTCTACAGTAGATGTGAAAACGAACTGAGATTCCAACGTTTTTTGCCATTGTGTGTACTACATGTGAAATTATCCGTGGGGGAGAAGTGTATGTTTATTCTTTTGTATTTGTAAGTTTACTCTCTTTAAATTAATATGCATTGAGATGCATAGCAGCAGTGAAGGCTTTATGTTCTAGTTCAGACTACAACATTCAACATGTGACATCCATTCAGTGCAATCAATGGCTCACATATGAGTCACTTTTGAGTAAATAACACATACTTCTGACAGAAATTTCCAGACAGAAATTAATCAGTTTCTTCTGCAAAGTTATTAAAAGAGTTTGTTGCTCATCTAAGCAACTCGACACAGTCTGAGTTGATCTTAGTGTTGAATGCAAGAACTGACAATACATATCAAACAAAGCAAAAGAAAAGAACAATGGAGACACAGGACAAGTTATTGTCTTTTTCACGTTAGGTTATAATCAAGAAGACATACAATCAAGAAAGAGCAAACCATTCAACAAAAATGTAAGGTTATTTGAACCGGAAATAAAGCTAGTCGAACCAAATCAGGTCATGCAAAGCATACTGAAACACAGTTATTGCTGTTTGAGTCTGAATCTTAAATAGTATTTCAAAAACAAACACACAAACACACACACACACACACACACACACACACACACACACACATCAATTTTAATATATTTTATATTTTTCTATCATTGTATTTTATGTTTAAACTTCATTTATATGTGGGTAAATCTGTAAGTAGGGTCATTAAAAGACCCTAATTGTGACATTTGTACTGTTCATTTTCAATTCATCACAGGTAAATTATAAAATGTTAACTGTTTTGGTCTATATCTCTGTCTAGCTGCACATTAAAAAAAAATTCCACAAATATAAGTGCATTAATCGTTAGATTTGTACAGTTTTAACAGGGTGGTTATTGTTAGTTTACCAGAAATATATAAAAGGTTTTAACAAGACGGCTGTCAAAACTCACCGGGATGTGAAGGGTTACCGTTCTCTTCGCAGTGCATTGTGGGATAGCAAATGATCAACGATAGCGGCGAGACTAAAGCATCTGAAACTTTTCATTGTAACTTATTTGCATGTACCACTCCTTTCTCTGCGCGTATTTATCGACGCTGCAGACGTGACTTGGGATGAAAACGGATACATTCTGTACTGCCCGTGCATGGGTAACGTTAATGAGAGCACGACACATCTGAGACATTTACAGCTCATGCACACACTGACTGCTTTGAGAATCAAATGAAGACTTGCCTGCAGACCCAGAGCGAGGACTGCACAATTCAAAAGCGTCTGGATTGTCCGTGTTGTGTTGGAGTAATAAACTCGTTTCTCCTATATGTTCTTCTTTAGGTCGGGTTGGAAACCAGGTGGATCATTTTCTTGGGTCACTGGCTTTTGCTAAAATGCCGAACCGAACACTCGCGATTCCGCCGTGGATTGTTTACCGCCATCACTCGCCACCTTTTCAAAATGTAAACACAACACCTGTCAGTCACTCCTTTGATAGCACATGTACCCTGCCCTGCACCCTGTTAGGAAATCTAACTTAAGCTGATAGTGTTTTGGAACAAGGTAGCTGGTCCAAACCAGTTATTTTAGTATTATTTATTTACTATTATAATATTTATTAATATTTTGAATAATCTTTTATTTTTAGATTTTATTTTAATTTTAGTTTAAGTTTTAGTAGTTTTGTTACTTGCTTTTGTCATTTAAATTTTTTAATAAATAATATTTCTGTTCTGCTTTATGTTTATTTCGCTCTATATTAGAGTAATTTTAATACTTAAACTTATTTTATTAGCATTTCTAATTTGTGTTATTTACTGAAGTTTAATATTAATTAAGTTTAATAATATCTGATAATCATATTATATTTCATTTCAGCTTTATTTCAGTCGACAAAAATGATTTTTAATCATTTTAGTTAAGAATAACAACATTGGGCCAAGTTGGTAATTTAGCTGGCCCTAACCACTGTTACATATATTATAGTATTTATTAATATTTTGATTAAGCTTTTATTTTTAACTTTAGTTTTCATTTTAATTTTAGTTTTTGTAATTTTATGTCATTTTTTTAGAATTTTATTTTAGTTTGTTCCCAAGGTAATTTTTCTAATTTTCTATTTTTTCTTTAAGTGTAGGTGTTTCATCTAATATTTATATTCATGTTTCAGTTTTATAAAAAAACAAAACAAAAAAAAAACTTTGGCTGGTTCATGTTGGTCATTAGATAATCCATACTTATCATACGTTGTTCCAAGATGGTAGGCCATCAGCTGCTAGCTGGTTCTGAAACAGTGACTGTTCAACCATCTAATGACTGGCCGTCACACTAGTAGATCAATAGGAGAAAGTTCAGTTTATTGATAAGCAATGTTGGGGGTAATATATTACAAGTAACGCAAGTTACGTAATCAGATTACTTTTTCAAGTAACTAGTAAAGTAACACATTACTTTTTAATTTACAAGAGAATATCTGAGTTACTTTTTCAAATAAGTAACGCAAGTTACGTAATCAGATTACTTTTTCAAGTAACTAGTAAAGTAACACATTACTTTCCATAAAAAGTAACTAAGTAACGTAATTAGTTATTTTTTTATGGAGTAATGCAATATTGTAATGCATTACTTTTAAAAGTAACTTTCCCCAACACTGTTGATAAGGTATAGTATGCTTCTGTGTTTCTCTGTAACAGGTGCATGTCCCTTACAGTGAGTATTTCCAGTTGGAGCCAGTGAAGCAGTACCACCGTGTGGTGAGTCTAGAGGACTTCATGGAGCACTTGGCTCCTAAGCACTGGCCTCCTGGTCAGAGAGTGGCCTACTGCTTTGAGTCTGCAGCTCACAGGAGCATGGACAAAAAGAGCTGTCCGATGAAGGTAATATGGGTGTTCATTCTTCAAGGTGCACTTCACTTCTGTCTTTTTGCTAGACCTTCAGAATCCAAAGTTCTCTGTATAGCCTCACCTCAAATATTTTTTTCTAATGTATTATGCCGCACTCTTTGGAAACACTGCCATCTATTGGACTTTTTGCAGATGTGTATTTTCTTTCACACCATAAAAGCATCATGCATTCTTAAATATTCATGACAGTGCGCTTGTAATGCAGCCTGTTGATTCTCGTGCAGGACGGAAATCCTTTTGGTCTGTTTTGGGACCATATTGGAGTCAATATCGATCGCTCTGTTCTTTTCGGAGGACTGTCATTCAGCTCCTACTACCAGCCGCACTGGATAAAGAGGTAAGGTTGAGCTGAAACACTCACATAAATATAAATTATTGCACTCAGGCTCCCTCCACTTTACTTTTCTCACTCTCAAACTCTGTGTTTCTCTTTTTCTCCAGGTTTCCCCCAAAAGAGCATCCAGTTCTCTCTCTTCCAGGAGCCCCAGCACAGTTCCCTGTACTGGAGGAGCACACTGGACTGCAGGAGTATGTGGTGTGGTCTGAAAACATGGTACAGGAAGGAGAAGGTCACATCAGAAGTCTGCTAAACAGACCTTACCTTGGAATTCATCTGAGGATCGGCTCAGATTGGGTGAGCTTTGTGTGTCCTGATGTGAATGGATGGTTTCCCATAGTTCAGATCCAAATGGACATTTCTAGAACTTTTATCTGAAGTGCATCTTATAATACCACTCAACATTTATTTTAGAGTGAAATTAATGCATTTACATTTATGGATTTATCGGACATTTTTATCCAAATCAAACAAAGTCATTTATTAATTAACAATACATTCAATTGATCAAAAGTGACCGTAAAGAGTGACATTAAAGACTTAATACAGAAGTACAATACAAAATACAGAAAATTTATTGCAAATAAATGTTTTGAACTTTGAAAGCCAAAATTGAGCTTTAACATCACCGGAACAAATTGCATTTTAAAACATATTAAAACAGACATTTTGAATATTTCCACAATATTTCTACTTTAATTTGTGTTCAAATAAATGCAGGTTTGATGAGCATAAGATCTTGTATAAGAAAATTCATAAAAAGATTGCACTGACACCAAATTTTTGAATGGTAGTGTATATAGTTGTTATCTTTCTGTATGTAAATGATTTATCCTGTATATCTATCTGTTATTTGTGAATATATATTTATTGATTTGTTTATTTACATATATATATATTTTTTTACTTGATATAACTTTGTTATTGTCTTAAAATAGTCTTAGATGCTGACATGGCATAAAAACATATATAAATGAACAGATCGAACTGGATATGATATAAAAGCAATACAGTAAATGATGTGATCTCATCATAAAATTCGTTCTCCAAAGGTATATGTGAATTAATGTGGGCGATTGTATTAGATTTCTGAAGTACCAGTATAACACGTGTGGAATTTTAGGCCTGATGTGGCTTGAATTGGATGATATGTGTCATATCCTCTTAACGATTATTATTATTCCACACAGCAAAATGCCTGCAAGCTTCTGAAGTCAGGTGATACTGGTCCTCACTTCATGGCATCTCCACAGTGTGTGGGATACGACCGTCGAACTGCCCTGCCGCTGACCATGACCATGTGTTTACCAGATCTGTCTGAGATCTGCCGTGCGGTGAAGCTCTGGGTGAAGAACATCTACGCTCAGTCAGTTTACATAGCCACCGACTCTGAATCGCACACCGCAGAGATTCAGAAACTCTTCAAGGGCAAGGTGAGGATTAACATTTTAACATTACAGATGTGTAAACCTGATTTAGTAAACAGAATATAAAGGTGATGATGCATTTTTTGCAGGTGAAGGTCGTGAGCTTGCAGCCGGACACTGCTCAAATTGACCTGTATATCCTCGGCCAGGCCGACCACTTCATCGGCAACTGTGTTTCGTCCTTCTCAGCCTTTGTTAAAAGGGAGAGAGATGTTCATGGGAGACCCTCGTCATTCTTTGGGATGGACTACCCAGGAAAAAGGAAAGGAAAAGAGGAACTCTAATGAAATGGAGATGTTATGTTTTTGTAACTGTGAAGGCTGGTTGAAGTTTTGCATGTTTCAGGTCTATGGTTACATTTTGAACAAGAACATTTGGATATAGGCTTTAAGTAATTAAATGAAGGGAGAACAAGAAAGTTAATTCCATTTCTTTGGATGCTGCATTTCTCCCATGTTGCACTACTACATTTACTGTGAGAGCAACCATGGTATCTTTATATCATTGATATTTTTGTACTACTGGCTCATTTGCATTATTTGAGGATGTAAAAACTGCCCCCTGTGAGGGTTTAGTGATTAGAGACAAGTCAGAATTAGTCAAGTAATAGTGGTTGGAAATTGCACTTTTTGTAGTTGAAGGCCATTTAAGACCTCCAGAGGCATCCAGATGTGCAGTGCTTTAGTGATTGCTGAAAATGAACAAATGTGTCACTTTCTGATGTCTTATAGTAACGCAAGTTAACGTTGTTTTTGAAAGTCAGTGTGAAACCAAATAGCAGAAATGTTTTATAAAGGTTTTAAGATGTACATATTAGTTTTGTACCACTTTAAATGACATTCCTCAAGTCAGTTTTCAATTAAAAATAGAACTAGCAGTATTTTGTGCATTCATGTCCTTAGGTTTTATGATCTATTTAAAAGTCTTTCTTTTAAAATTTAAATCAAAGGAGTACATATGCATTTATAATCTTTGCACAAAAAAATGCAGCAAGAATGAATGAATAAATAAAAATAACAGTTTCCATTGAAATGCAATGGTTACTGCACTGCAATTCAAAATTTTGGAGTGGCTAAATATTTTTTTAAATGTATTTGAAAGAAGTCTCTTATGCTCATTAAGGCTACATTTATTTGATAAAATAAAACAGAAATATTCCAATTTCAAATAACTAATTTATATGTTAATTTATTTTAAAATGTAATCTATTCCTGTGATACAAAGCTGAATTTTCAGCAGCCATGACTTCAGTGTCACATGATCCTTCAGAAATCATTCTAATGCTGCTTTTCTGCTCAAGAAACATTTCTTATTATCAATGTTGAAAACAGTTGAACTGCCTAATATTTTTTGTAGAAGCCATAATTTATTTTGAATCAAATTTCGATGAATCCAAAATTTAAAATAGCATTTTTTTTTATAGAAATGTTTTGTAACATAAATGCCTTTACTATTACCTTTGATACTTTTAAAGCATCCTTGCTAAGTAAAAGTATTAATTTCTTTCAAAAATAAATGAATAAAATGAACTGTTTATTGTTTTTGCAATAAATCTGTGTATGGAGTGGTTTAAATTTGTCAGTTTGAAGTGTTATTTATTTACATTTTTACTTTTTAATCAATAATACCATATTAAGTCATTCCATAATTGTACTATTCGAGGTAATTTGTTGCTATTCCATTGTTGTAATAACAAAACATTCAAACTACATACAAATCTATAGTGCCCATTTGCAGCAGATCCATCCCGGCCTGCAGGGGGATCACAGCACAATCTCTCTCTCTCTCTTTCTCTCTCTCTCTCTCTCTCTCTCTCTCCTCACAGGAACAGACATGGCTGACGGAGTTCATGAGGAGAGATACGGCTAATTTTGTATATTTCAGCGCTTAGAGACTTGAGAGGTATGTGCTTCTGATGGATATGAAGCCGACGGTTAAATTGTTGCAGGTTAAATTGTCCTGCAGTGGCGAGGTGAGTTACATTATGTGTGTATTTCTACAGTGTGTGCTGTATAAATGACACGGTTTGTTTGCCGTTGCCAGGCCGCTTGAGTCTGAGGAGCTCCATCCTCACTGATACGTTTATATATCTTGACAAGCTCATATTAGCAATATTATATTATTGAACTATAATAAAATATCAAAAGAACAAAATAATGACATTTTCAACAAAACAGGCGTCGTTTTTGACTCTTTAGTCTGTTATTCGCCGTTATCTCGCTATATAGTCATTCTTGAGAAGTGGGACAAAACGGTGCAAAATTTAAAAAATAAAACCTTGTACTCAGACAAATGAAACTACATTTATGTATCTTATATGTACTAAGCTACTGAGCTATGCTTTGATACAACCTCCCAACTTTTCTCTTTTTTAACAAAATTTGCTTTTTTTTGGCTTGGACTGTGTAATATAATTTCAGCTTGATCTTTAACAGTATTCAAGATGTTTTTAGCTGACACTGCTGTACTCTGCAGAGGTGAACTGTGGCAAGGGGGTCCTTTAGAGTGACAGTTGCCCGATATTCCCTGATTTTATTACATTTTATTGAATGTCTGGCGGTGTTGACAAAACGTGGGGACGCAACTTTAAAATCGTATTAAACATGCATGTGTCATTAAAAAACAACCTTGCTTTGATAGGAGATATTAAGTGTTGCTTTTGATAAAACAAGCTCTTTTTCATCATTAAAAACACATTTTTATCCATTTTATTGCATATGAATGCTTGAACCCTTCTCTGTGGACACACTGTTTTAGATGTAGTGAGAGGACATTAAGAAACATAGATTTGGTATAATGAGAAAATTAAATTGAAGGTGATAATTGTGTTAAATACATTCTATTATTAATCCCTCATGACATTTAAAATTGAAAATATTTTTATTTTTAAACCTAATAGCAGTTACCCTTACTGGACCTGTTTTGTCCCATGTCTCAAGAATGACTGATTGACAACCGAGGCTGAGATTGACTAATTTAAGCCAGATTTACAGGTATATTTACTATTAAATTATATCAGATGGACTGACGTGAATTAGCAGTGCTGCTACAGCTAATGTAACTTAGTCGTTAATAGATTGCGTTTTATCCTGTAAATTATTATTATTATGACCAGTCTTTGAAAAATGATAATTTGGGAATAACACGAGCTGCTTTAGACGTTTGGTCTTCTACAAATATAATATGTAATAATACTGAGTACAGGCTTGCTTATGAAAATGATTATTTAGGAGTGGCATAAACGACTCAACAGGTCTGTGCTTGTAGTATGTGGTATGTTATAGCAACCAGTTAAGGCATATCACTTTCATTTAGGTCTATACTTTGTTTGAATAGTTGTAAAGCTGCAAAAACGTAAAGTAATACATATTGCAATATACTGTTTAACCCAACACTTACAAATAACTACTGTGGCAAAAGTGATTGTCATTATTTCTGACCTTAGAAGAAAGTTCAACTTTGTTTTGGTATTCCATCAATACATCAATAGTATGATGGTATGAGATAAAGAGACAGAATTATGATATACTAAGTCATAATTATGGCATAGGTCAAAATTCTGAAAAGGTGATTTTAAAAATGGTCATACTTTTAACTTTTTCTAACAATTATTATTATTAATTTTTTTTTCCTTTTTATCTCATAATTGTGACATACAGTGGAGATCAAAATGAGAGAGCAACCTACAATTTCCTAAATTTTGAGGTCACTGCTTGGTCTTATTGGAAGTTATCCTAACAGGAGTAAAAGTGCAGGTTTTAAGCATATTTCATGAGTTAAATATATTCTGAAGCACAGTCCAAAAAACTTAAATGAGATATTTGAAAAAGAACTCTGATCAAAATTAGAGAACACTTTCAGATACCTCCCAGTTAGTGGTGTTAATCTGGCACCTGGTGCTAATTTCCTTAATTATATGTCAAACCCTATTTAACTGGCAGCCTAACTTTCCAGTTTTCACTGACTTTGCAAGATGGTGAGCCTTTCTAAAGTGACTGAAACCCTCCGACAGCAGGTTGTCAAGATGAAGGCCAGTAGCAGCCATTGCAAGAGAAGTTGGTCGTTTCAAATCTGTGATAGAATATTGCATCTTTACAATGTCACTAACTCATTCAAGTCCCCCAAAAAGACTGGTTGTCCACAAAAAACAAATGCACAAGACGACAGGATAATGCGGAGAATCTCAATGGGCAATCGGTTCAACACTGCAGCTGGAATTGCTTGCCAGTTCAGTGCTGAACAGGGTAAGGATCTGTCTCTGCATGTTTAAGAGAAGTCGGACTGAAAGTGCACTCTGCAGTGATGAAGCCTCTCATCAGCTGAAATAATCAAAAGTCTAAGCTCACCTTTGCTGAGGAGCAGGTTGTGTGGAGAGAGTATTACGTATATTACATAACTATGTTGTAATAATATATAATATTGTGCGCAATGAATCTGTCACGCCCACTAGAGTCTCGTCAGTAGGTCACGCATGCGCTAATAGCTCTGAAGTAAACTAACCCTGAAACATAACCTACTCCAGAGCAGGTTATGTTCAGAGAATAAGTTACTATGGCTACTTACATGAGCTTGAAGCTGAAAACATTGAAAAAATGAAATGGCCGGCCCAGAGTCCTGATCTAAACCCGATTGAAAATCCTTGGTGACAAAGTTATGGCTTCCACCGAACTGTGGAAGAAGAGCGGACCAAGATCACCCCAGAGCATTGTGAGAAACTAGTGATGTCCTGCGGCCGCAGATGTGCTGAAGTCATTCAAAGCAAGGGCTTCTACACTTCCTACTTCCTACTATTTTTGACTGCTGTAACCTTCAGAAATGTTAGTTGTAATTTTTCTTTGTGCTGCAATCATTGCTGTTCTCTAATTTTGATTACTGTCTTTTCCACAAAAAAGGTTTTTGTTGAAGTGCCTTGGTTGTTTTCTAAAACACTGTTCTACTAGCATGGTATAGCCACAACTAAAATTACTTCAAATTTTGAACAATGAATATTATTTCATATTCAATTATTCATTATTTCACATTCAGTTATTTAATATAATATAATTATTTCTGAAAAAAAATCAGAAGTGTTAATAAATTGTTCTCTCCACTGTAGTATCTCATGATTTTGACTATTTGTTTCATAGTTATGAAATAATAAAAACAAATAATAAAAAATATTAATTTGATTAACTTATAATTATGATGTACTCGTGATTTACTTAAACATGATTTTTTTTATGTGGTGGAAAATGGGATTCCATGTATTTGTTGTAAGCTTGATTTTTGCTTACTCTATTTTATTGCTTACCAGATATGTAGGCTGTTTATTCAGTATTTTTATGAAAAAAGGTTACTACAGATTGCTTGCCAAGATAAATCTAGATAAATAGTTCTGTGTTTGTTTGCTGTAACCATAAAACAAGTTTGTTCATCTTTATCTCTTGTCTTTGTCATTTCACTGAGTTGCATCATGTTTTGCAGGCTCTGATGCTGGCGGCACCATCACTGTGAAATAAACTACAAACTTATTAAGAGAAGCCAGCAGATACGCCAAAGCCATCAAAATGTCTAAAAGCAAGAGCTCTGAATCTGTTAAGGTAGTGGTGCGTTGTCGTCCCATGAATGAGAAAGAGCGAGCCGCCAACTTCCAGAGGGTGGTCTCAGTGGATGTGAAGTTTGGGCAAGTGGCCGTGCGCAACCCTCGAAGTGCATCCTCCCATGAGCACCCAAAAGTGTTCACCTTCGATTCCGTCTATGACTGGAATTCAAAGCAGATGGAGCTCTACGATGAGACTTTCCGGCCATTGGTGGACTCTGTACTTTTTGGCTTCAATGGGACCATCTTTGCATACGGCCAGACGGGCACCGGAAAGACTTTCACGATGGAAGGGGTACGAAACGACCCCGACAGGAGGGGTGTCATTCCGAACTCCTTTGAACACATTTTCACACACATCTCCCGCTCTCAGAACCAGCAGTACTT